GCACTGCCCCTACATAGTTACCATGGCTAGCACTGCCCCTACATAGTTAGCATGGCTAGCACTGCCCCTACAGAGTTAGCATGGCTAGCACTGCCCCTACATAGTTACCATGGCTAGCACTGCCCCTACATAGTTACCATGGCTAGCACTGCCCCTACATAGTTACCATGGCTAGCACTGCCCCTACATAGTTAGCATGGCTAGCACTGCCCCTACATAGTTACCATGGCTAGCACTGCCCCTACATAGTTAGCCTGGCTAGCACTGCCCCTACAGAGTTAGCATGGCTAGCACTGCCCCTGCAAGGTTAGCTAACCCTTATCCAGAAGGGATTTTATGGGGGGATGGTCATTTAAGAAGTCCCCCCCAGGTCCTAGTTTCACCGTATCTGGTCGCTCCTGTCAGCAGAGTAAAGGTTGCAGCCAATGAACGGCCAGAAGAACGGCTTCCTCCAACCTCCACGCTTCACATCCCAACCTTTCAACATGGAAGTGCTTTTCTCTGACATCATTGTCCAAACACCGGCAGGTTGGTTCCCCCAGCACCACGGCCAGCGCCGCTCCAGCTAGCAGGCTCATCTCACATGAGAAACAATGGAAGGACTCAGAGGTTCCAGTGGTTTAAGGAGCCGCGCCGCATCACTGCTGACCTCCCAGACATCAGTGCAAAGAAATTAATTGACCAATCACACATCTTCAAATAAAACTCCAAAAAAGGTTTTTGTACCATAATGGTGAAAATAATAGTGTTTTTTTTATAGAAATGTTTGAAATGTTGCCCATTATTAAATCTGGATTAAACCAAACAACAGCTGGACATTAACCCCCCCCCATGTGTTTAGTTCTTTTTCCGAATATTTTTCCTTTTCTTTGCTTCTGTTCATCCTTCCTTTAGTTCCTTATTTACCTCCACCGCTCTCCTTCCTGCTCCTGATTCCTTCCCTTTAGATCCACTGTGCTCATTAGTCCTTCTTCCTCAGTCTCCCTGCTTTCTCCCCAACAGCTGCTTCACTTCAGCATCCAGTCTGGGTCTACACAGATCCCTCAGTATCAGTCTGCTCCCGCCGTGCCTCTGCCTGTATCTCCTGCTCTTTGTCGGCTTCCACTCAGTGTGACAGAAAGTGACTAACAGACGTTTTATTGGTTGATTCTGAAATTGGTCCAAAGACCTGATCTTTACTTTAGGGAGGAAACAGATCATTTGTGGGTTTGTTGTCACGGTGACCTGAACATAATCTCTCTGCTTTGGATGTCTTCATCTCTTTTGTAACTGGGCTGGGAATTGAACCCAGGACTTTCCTGGTGCCAGGCAGCAGTGCTCCTCGGATGAAGGCCTGAATCAGAAGCTGGTCTGTGCAGCTGAAGCTGTTTGATGAGCCTCTTTATTTCCTGACTGAGGAAGAAGCGGCCTAACCACGCTCCACTGCTCATCAACAGCTCAGCTGTAGAGGTGGTCAGCAGCACCACATTCATCACAGACACCCTCACCTGGACTGGAAACACCACCTCACTGGTCCAAAGGGCCCAGAAGCGCTTGGACTTCCTGCCCCCCCCATCCTCCCCACCTTCTCCAGAAGCTCCATAGAGAGCGTTCTGAGCAGCTGTCTCACTGTGTGGTGTGGAGGCTGCAGCGCCTCAGACTGGAAGAAGGTGAGAACAGCAGAGAGGATCATGGGGGCTCCTCTTCCCTCCATTAAAGACATTTCATCCCAGCGCTGCGTGTCCCGTGACATCATCAATGACCCCTCATCCCCCCACCATGGACTCTCTGGGAAGAGGCTTCCCAGCATTCAATGCAGGACCAGCAGGTTTCATGCACATAAATAAATACTTAAAGAAAAAATAAAGTAGAAGAATGTAACAGACAATAAATAAATAAGGTAATTATTACAAAGGCAAATAAACAAAGTCTAATTAAAAGATATATGTATATATATGTCTCACTGTATAATTTCATTTCTACCTACATTTATCAGTTTATTGTATTTTTGGGGGCAGTTCATTGTATGTTTATTTTTGGAGCATTTATTTATTTCTGTATTTATTTTAATTATGGCAGGATTGGTCCTCCATATGTGACAGAACGACAATAAAAGCCAACTGCTGTAATGCAGTAAATGGCCAGACGGTGTCAGTGTTGCAAAGAAGAAACATTTAAACTAAATCTTTCAATAGTTTGGACAAAAATAGGAGTTAGAGTTTCATTCATTTCAGATTTACATTTCTTCACCTTATTAGTTAGAATTTTGATCCAAATCTAAAAGGGATTTTTTTTTTATGTGTCGTTTTTTCGACAGCAGGCTGACAGGAATCTAACCTGGGTCCCCAGCTCCAGGACTAAGGCCTCCATACATGCGTTGTGTGCAATAACCACTGGTCTTTACTGCCTGATTGTTCCAGCAGTCTGCTGTTTCATTATTTCTACAAACTTCCAAAGTCATTTAACTTTGAAGAAGATATCTATCTGATAAAGGTCACCTGCATAGAGCCTCTGAGACGCAGGAAGTAGAATATCTGCAGTGAGGAATCCTTCAAAAAAGGACAGAGATGGTTTAAAGATGGAGGAACCTCAGCAGCATCCAGAGATATCTGAGCTTTTCTCCTAGATGTGACTGTAACAGGGATCCAAACCGGATCAGATCTGTTGGGGCCTCAGGCTGTCCTGAACAGACCTTCCTCCCTCAGAGATCATTGACCTTTGAACAGATCCTCTCACCTGAGCGGAGAGGCTCTGCAGCTCCTCCAGAGGAGCCAAAACATCCACAGAAACAGCTCCTGAGGGATCTACTGTGATGTTTATTAGATCTTTATAGCAGCCTGAGTCTGCTGGAAGCTCAGATCTCTGAGGACTAAAGACCCACAAATGGTCGTGGTCGTCATCATCATCAGCAGCAGCAGTTGTGATTCAGTCAGCTGTAGGAGGGTGAAGCGGTGGAAGAGCAGAAACATTTTCTCTTCCCTCTCATGGAAAGTGCAGCTGAGAAAACACTGCGGTGAATCAGGAAGCACAGGACGCCCCCCCCTCTGCGTTTATGGAACTCTGCATCTGAAGGATTTTGCTGAGAGGAGTGAAGGTTGGAGACTGGTGAGAACAAACCATAACAGGATAATGGAAAAACTGGGAGCAGTGGGATCTGAGGCTGCCAGGGAAAACCGTTCAGGGCTTGAACCTTCTCTGCTTTTGGAAAAATGCTGCATGTGGGAATTCAATCATAACATTTCAGGAAACCATCACAAAAGGAATAATTACCAGCAGAGTCAGAAACTCCCACAGAGAAACGCCAGGAAAATATCGGAGTGTTTTCCCTGAGCTGGGAAAGCCGATCATGTCCAGAGTCGGTGTTCCGTGGAAGAGCTGCTGATCAGCTGGGGGGGGGGATGTTCCAGCCAACATCTCATGTTTAAAAACTAAAGATATGAAGAGCAGCTGGACTGAGAGCAGGTTGGTTTCAGGAAGGGAGGCTGATTCCACATAATCCGCTCCGCATCCTTTACTTTAATGTTAATCAATGAGAGCTGTTCCACCACCACCGCTGCTCCTCCGCACGTCTCCGTCCACCTACGCCTTCTCCATCCGTCACAATACAGACCTGAGCTGTTCAGGGTCCAGCAGGTCCAGATCCGCTATCCAATCCCACCAAACAGGAACAAGAACGACAACAAGATCCAGTTTGTCAAATTATAATATAGTAACAACGGATCAATGCGACGTTCATAAGCTGTATGTAATGCATACAGAATGACAAATAAAGAAGTCTAAGATCGGCAACCAGAAATTACAGCAAAATTCTCCTAAAACTAACAGCGTTTATTTGAAAGATTGGATGCAAACTATTGGTCCTTCAACAGACCAGGGAGCAGATTTATCATCTCCATCAGATTAATTATTTTATACCGAGAGGCTTAAAAGTTTAATCTAATCCATTCAAAACTTCTAAGAGTGAATCTCAGAACTTCAAAACAAACTTCTTCCTGCAGGAATGAAGAGAAGCTGAGTTTGGAAGCAGAGAACAGAGATCATCCAAAACATGGATGATCCCAGTTATCCCAGTTACAAAGATCCACAACAACATGAGAACATTGGGGCAGAAACTGAACATCTGCTGGATGATGGTGGAGATTATTTTAATATATTAAAATAATCGTTCACAGAATGAGGAACTCCAATTTAATGCTTTTAATGCCATCAACAAGTTATTAGTGTACATGAAATATGAAGGAGCTGGAAGCACATTTCCATGACTCTTATATTATATATATTCCTAGTTTTCCAGCCACTTTTATTGTAATTATCTTTTTCCCATTCTCTAGCATTTTCTCCGCCTTGAGCTTCTTTTCCGAACACACAGCTTTATGATCAACTGGAAACGGCGCCACGCAAATTAATCGCGATATATCGATTAAATTATATTTAATTAATGTGTCCAGCCTGCAGATGGGCGTCATTCAAAGCCATGAAGGCAGAAGAAGCTAAAGGATTATTCATTAGAATGATAAATGCTTCCTCTGCATCTTTAATTATAAAGCAAATAAACAGTAAAATCAGTTCAATCATCCGGGTTCACGGTTCCCTTCATGTTCAAAATCAGCTTTAAAGAATCAACAGAGAATCATTAAAAGGCTGCAGAGGTCTGCATATCAGGCCGGCTGGAGTCTAAACCCGATTTAAAAATAAACTCATCCTTCAACATCTCCAAACTCTCCCTCAGAACTTTAGAGGAAATGTTTCTGATCGAACCGTCCAGAAGAATCATGGGAGAACTAAAGATTAGGGTTATGGCCCGTGGGCCTCCACAGCAGCAGAAGCTCAGACTGATTCAATATTTTTAAACCCCTTTATTACATTATTTTATGACTTTGGATCAGGACAATCTTTAAGTTTAATGAACGTTTCTAAATGTAAAAATCAGCTGAGATGATTTAAAACTTTGGGCTCCATGAAGCAGACCTGGCGTCCCGTTCCTGAGCATCAACACACAACAAGAGACTGGACACACTGGAAGGACTGGGAAAACTTTTATAAGAAAATAAGAAGCACATTTAATAAAAACAAACTTTAGCAGTTTTTGGCAGACATGGAGACAAACACAGATTTGACTGATTCATCATGACTTTCAGAACAAAATGACAGTAATATATTTTATTCAGACCGTCACCGTGAGCCCAAGCCAGAGGAGGAGGATGATGATGGAGCGCCGAAGGTTTCCTCCTTCAGCTGCTTCTCTGTAGTGTCCATGAAGACGCCATCACTGATTGGTGGTCAGCGATTTCAGGGATTTAGATTGGGTGGACCCACAGGACGGTAACCATGGCGACCATTAGAAACCATGCAGAAACTAGTTAAGGGGTTAAAAAGTCATCCATCATGATAAGAAGACCAGAACCCTGAAGGTCCGTCTGGCCCCGACCCGGTCCTCTCCTTCCTGTGGTGCTCATTGCCCCACAGGCAGGTCCTTATCCTCATCACCATGGTAACATGGGCCTCATGTTGGCAGATATTCCATCCAATATGGCCGCCTTTGAAAAATGTTTGGTCCAGGAAAACAAAAAGAATTCATGCATTTGCGGAAATGTTTAAAGCTCCAATTCTTCTGCTGTTTCTACAGGAAAAGGCAGAAACTCTGAATGATGACTGTGCAAAGAAAAGAGGCCACAATCTGATAAACTAGGAGAGGATCTACATTCAGCTAAAACAGTCTGTGATAGTGCAATATCTACACAAACACACCCTCACACTCACACTCACTCCAACACACACACGCAGGTCTCAGTGGCGACTCCGGCGGGAATGTGCCTGGGAAGCCTGCAGGGCCTGGTCCCATTTCTGGACAGAAGGAAGAACAAAGAATAAAAAGCTGGGGAGGTCAGTTCTTCCAGAAGCACCCTGAAAAACCCTGAGGAACGCCCAAAGAAACGCAGAGAGAAACACCCTGAGAAAAACCCTGAGAAAAACCCTGAGGAACGCAGAGAGAAACACCTGGAGAAAAACCCTGAGAAAAACCCTGAGGAACGCCCAAAGGAACGCAGAGAGAAACACCCTGAGAAAAACCCTGAGAAAAACCCTGAGGAACGCAGAGAGAAACACCTGGAGAAAAACCCTGAGAAAAACCCTGAGGAACGCCCAAAGGAACGCAGAGAGAAACACCCTGAGAAAAACCCTGAGAAAAACCCTGAGGAACGCAGAGAGAAACACCTGGAGAAAAACCCTGAGAAAAACCCTGAGGAACGCCCAAAGAAACGCAGAGAGAAACACCCTGAGAAAAACCCTGAGAAAAACCCTGAGGAACGCAGAGAGAAACACCTGGAGAAAAACCCTGAGAAAAACCCTGAGGAACGCCCAAAGAAACGCAGAGAGAAACACCCTCAGAAACACCCTGAGAAAAACCCTGAGGAACGCAGAGAGAAACACCCTGAGAAAAACCCTGAGGAACGCCTAAAGGAACGCAGAGAGAAACACCCTGAGAAAAACCCTGAGGAACGCCCAAAGAAACGCAGAGAAAAACACCCTGAGAAACACCCTGAGAAAAACCCTGAGGAACGCAGAGAGAAACACCCTGAGAAAAACCCTGAGGAACGCCTAAAGGAACGCAGAGAGAAACACCCTGAGAAAAACCCTGAGGAACGCCCAAAGAAACGCAGAGAAAAACACCCTGAGAAACACCCTGAGAAAAACCCTGAGGAACGCAGAGAGAAACACCCTGAGAAAAACCCTGAGGAACGCCCAAAGGAACGCAGAGAGAAACACCCTGAGAAAAACCCTGAGGAACGCCCAAAGAAACGCAGAGAGAAACACCCTGAGAAAAACCCTGAGGAACGCCCAAAGGAACGCAGAGAGAAACACCCTGAGAAAAACCCTGAGGAACGCCCAAAGGAACGCAGAGAGAAACACCCTGAGAAACACCCTGAGAAAAACCCTGAGGAACGCAGAGAGAAACACCCTGAGAAACACCCTGAGAAAAACCCTGAGGAACGCAGAGAGAAACAACCTGAGAAACACCCTGAGAAAAACCCTGAGGAACGCAGAGAGAAACACCCTGAGAAAAACCCTGAGGAACGCCCAAAGGAACGCAGAGAGAAACACCCTGAGAAAAACCCTGAGAAAAACCCTGAGGAACGCAGAGAGAAACAACCTGAGAAACACCCTGAGAAAAACCCTGAGGAACGCCCAAAGGAACGCAGAGAGAAACACCCTGAGAAAAACCCTGAGGAACGCAGAGAGAAACACCCTGAGAAAAACCCTGAGGAACGCCCAAAGGAACGCAGAGAGAAACACCCTGAGAAAAACCCTGAGGAACGCCCAAAGGAACGCAGAGAGAAACACCCTGAGAAACACCCTGAGAAAAACCCTGAGGAACGCAGAGAGAAACACCCTGAGAAAAACCCTGAGGAACGCCCAAAGAAACGCAGAGAGAAACACCCTGAGAAAAACCCTGAGGAACGCCCAAAGGAACGCAGAGAGAAACACCCTGAGAAAAACCCTGAGGAACGCCCAAAGGAACGCAGAGAGAAACACCCTGAGAAACACCCTGAGAAAAACCCTGAGGAACGCAGAGAGAAACACCCTGAGAAAAACCCTGAGGAACGCCCAAAGAAACGCAGAGAGAAACACCCTGAGAAAAACCCTGAGGAACGCCCAAAGGAACGCAGAGAGAAACACCCTGAGAAAAACCCTGAGGAACGCCCAAAGAAACGCAGAGAGAAACACCCTGAGAAAAACCCTGAGGAACGCCCAAAGGAACGCAGAGAGAAACACCCTGAGAAACACCCTGAGAAAAACCCTGAGGAACGCAGAGAGAAACACCCTGAGAAAAACCCTGAGGAACGCCCAAAGGAACGCAGAGAGAAAAACCCTGAGAAAAACCCTGAGGAACGCCCAAAGAAACGCAGAGAGAAACACCCTGAGAAAAACCCTGAGAAAAACCCTGAGGAACGCCCAAAGGAACGCAGAGAGAAACACCCTGAGAAAAACCCTGAGGAACGCCCAAAGGAACGCAGAGAGAAACACCCTGAGAAAAACCCTGAGAAAAACCCTGAGGAACGCCCAAAGAAACGCAGAGAGAAACACCCGGAGAAAAACCCTGAAGAACGCCCAAAGGAACGAAGAGAGAAACACCCTGAGAAAAACCCTGAGGAACGCCCAAAGGAACGCAGAGAGAAACACCCTGAGAAAAACCCCGAGGAACGCCCAAAGGAACGCAGAGAGAAACACCCTGAGAAAAACCCTGAGGAACGCCCAAAGGAACGCAGAGAGAAACACCCTCAGAAACACCCTGAGAAAAACCCTGAGGAACACCCAAAGAAACGCAGAGAGAAACACCCGGAGAAAAACCCTGAAGAACGCCCAAAGGAACGAAGAGAGAAACACCCTGAGAAAAACCCTGAGGAACGCCCAAAGGAACGCAGAGAGAAACACCCTGAGAAAAACCCTGAGGAACGCCCAAAGGAACGCAGAGAGAAACACCCTGAGAAAAACCCTGAAGAACGCCCAAAGGAACGAAGAGAGAAACACCCTGAGAAAAACCCTGAGGAACGCCCAAAGGAACGCAGAGAGAAACACCCTGAGAAAAACCCTGAGGAACGCCCAAAGGAACGCAGAGAGAAAAACCCTGAGAAAAACCCTGAGGAACGCCCAAAGAAACGCAGAGAGAAACACCCTGAGAAAAACCCTGAGAAAAACCCTGAGGAACGCCCAAAGGAACGCAGAGAGAAACACCCTGAGAAAAACCCTGAGAAAAACCCTGAGGAACGCCCAAAGAAACGCAGAGAAAAACACCCTGAGAAACACCCTGAGAAAAACCCTGAGGAACGCAGAGAGAAACACCCTGAGAAAAACCCTGAGGAACGCCCAAAGGAACGCAGAGAGAAACACCCTGAGAAAAACCCTGAGGAACGCCCAAAGGAACGCAGAGAGAAACACCCTGAGAAACACCCTGAGAAAAACCCTGAGGAACGCAGAGAGAAACAACCTGAGAAACACCCTGAGAAAAACCCTGAGGAACGCAGAGAGAAACACCCTGAGAAAAACCCTGAGGAACGCCCTAAGGAACGCAGAGAGAAACACCCTGAGAAAAACCCTGAGGAACGCCCAAAGAAACGCAGAGAGAAACACCCTGAGAAAAACCCTGAGGAACGCCCAAAGAAACGAAGAGAGAAACACCCTGAGAAAAACCCTGAGGAACGCCCAAAGGAACGCAGAGAGAAACACCCTGAGAAAAACCCTGAGGAACGCCCAAAGAAACGAAGAGAGAAACACCCTGAGAAAAACCCTGAGGAACGCCCAAAGGAACGCAGAGAGAAACACCCTGAGAAAAACCCTGAGGAACGCCCAAAGGAACGAAGAGAGAAACACCCTGAGAAAAACCCTGAGGAACGCCCAAAGGAACGCAGAGAGAAACACCCTGAGAAAAACCCTGAGGAACGCCCAAAGGAACGCAGAGAGAAACACCCTGAGAAAAACCCTGAGAAAAACCCTGAGAAAAACCCTGAGGAACGCCCAAAGAAACGCAGAGAGAAACACCCTGAGAAAAACCCTGAGAAAAACCCTGAGGAACGCAGAGAGAAACACCCTGAGAAAAACCCTGAGGAACGCCCAAAGGAACGCAGAGAGAAACACCCTGAGAAAAACCCTGAGGAACGCCCAAAGGAACGCAGAGAGAAACACCCTGAGAAAAACCCTGAGAAAAACCCTGAGGAACGCAGAGAGAAACACCCTGAGAAAAACCCTGAGGAACGCCCAAAGGAACGCAGAGAGAAACACCCTGAGAAAAACCCTGAGGAACGCCCAAAGAAACGCAGAGAGAAACACCCTGAGAAAAACCCTGAGGAACGCCCAAAGGAACGCAGAGAGAAACACCCTGAGAAAAACCCTGAAGAACGCCCAAAGGAACGAAGAGAGAAACACCCTGAGAAAAACCCTGAGGAACGCCCAAAGGAACGCAGAGAGAAAAACCCTGAGAAAAACCCTGAGGAACGCCCAAAGAAACGCAGAGAGAAACACCCTGAGAAAAACCCTGAGAAAAACCCTGAGGAACGCCCAAAGGAACGCAGAGAGAAACACCCTCAGAAACACCCTGAGAAAAACCCTGAGGAACGCCCAAAGAAACGCAGAGAGAAACACCCGGAGAAAAACCCTGAAGAACGCCCAAAGGAACGAAGAGAGAAACACCCTGAGAAAAACCCTGTGGAACGCCCAAAGGAACGCAGAGAGAAACACCCTGAGAAAAACCCTGAAGAACGCCCAAAGGAACGAAGAGAGAAACACCCTGAGAAAAACCCTGAAGAACGCCCAAAGGAACGAAGAGAGAAACACCCTGAGAAAAACCCTGAGGAACGCCCAAAGGAACGAAGAGAGAAACACCCTGAGAAAAACCCTGAGGAACGCCCAAAGGAACGCAGAGAGAAACACCCTGAGAAAAACCCTGAAGAACGCCCAAAGGAACGCAGAGAGAAACACCCTGAGAAAAACCCTGAGGAACGCCCAAAGGAACGCAGAGAGAAAAACCCTGAGAAAAACCCTGAGGAACGCCCAAAGGAACGCAGAGAGAAACACCCTGAGAAAAACCCTGAGGAACGCCCAAAGGAACGCAGAGAGAAACACCCTCAGAAACACCCTGAGAAAAACCCTGAGGAACGCCCAAAGAAACGAAGAGAGAAACACCCTGAGAAAAACCCTGAGGAACGCCCAAAGGAACGCAGAGAGAAACACCCTGAGAAAAACCCTGAGGAACGCCCAAAGGAACGAAGAGAGAAACACCCTGAGAAAAACCCTGAGGAACGCCCAAAGGAACGCAGAGAGAAACACCCTGAGAAAAACCCTGAGGAACG